TTACACTGACCTCCTTTGACCTTTGACTTCCCAAGGCCCCCTCACCCCCCCCGTGCCCTACCCACATGCTGGGCGCTTGCCCCCAACCCGTCTGCAGGAGGCGCCTCCGCCACTTTCGACCATAATTTCTTCCCTGGACGCTGTCCCGGTGTCAGGACCTCGTCCATATCCGACACTCCTGCCGTCCGTTTGCGGGAACCAACTTCCACACACATCGCCTCACCAGACGAAGCCTCCTGGTGAACTTCCACCACCACCTCATGCATCCGTGTCATTGTAGGCACGTCCAGGTCTCCCATCTTTGGCGAATCATCCTTCACCACTTCTTGACTCTCAGGTGAAACGTCTGGGCTATGCTCTGCCCCATCCAGGAGATCGTTTAACACGTTCTCCAGCAAACTTTCCTGTGACAACCCCACAGGCTCCGTAGGCCCCACAGGTGGCGTGGGCACGTTTGTAGTGTCCACCGACAGGGTGGCGCACGCCATAGACTGCATCTCCTCTTGTTGTACTTCCTCACTCCAAAGCTTAGGTCCTTGTTCAGGCGAGGGACCAGTCTCCAGATCAAAGGCCTCGGTTCTTAGGACCACAGGAGAAGGTTCCCGGATACGTACAACCAGGCGTCTGGAGCACTGAGCAGCCATATGGTCATACGAGTTGCATAACCTGCATGTCTTACGTTGGCCCGCATAGTGAACAAAAACTTGGGTCCTGTAGTGCTCTAGATAAACGTAAGATGGAATCGGCTGTTTTAATGTCATCTTTAGGGTGCAGGAGCCTTCCCGGGAGCCCTCGTATGGCCCTCCCTCCATACTCCCTTGGTCGCTGCATGTACCGTGCCGTATTTGCCAAAAACTTTCCGAATAACATACTCCTCCGCCTCGAAAGGCACGTTCCTTACTTTGACCCAGGTGACGTATGTGGAGACATCATGCAGACATACCTCTACGGCTGAATTCACCACCATTTTTCTCTCTTGAAAAGCGTCCACAATCTTGGAGTAAAAGCCGGCATTTGCGAATTTTACAAAAAACCTCGACATCCCATTGAGAGCCACACCATATAATTCCTCAGTGGGGATGCCATAGACGTCGCGAATGATGGTAGGCAACAAGACATGCATCGTTGCACCACTGAGAGAGCCACGAATAAATTCCACACAGACTGTGTTTACTCTTCTACCTTGACGATCCGCCATCTTGCGTACTGTAGTACACGGTTCGCCACCAGGTGTAAGCAAGAGCAGGCTCAGAAAGCGTCCTCTCAGCCCGCAGGGTGAGAGACGAATGAGAACAAGTGATTTGAAAGGGATCATCATTGGCTTGGCATCCCTTGTTTTGAAGGTTCTCATGATACATCTTATTTTCATCGCAGATGCGAGTGACACTGTTGTGATTCTTGAAGGCGAGATCCTCTGACATTACCACTCCCAGATCCTCCACACTGTTTTTCTGCTCTGTGTGACTATAATTTGTAGTATACTCAGTTCTAGCTATTATTTTTATGATGTAGGACGTTAGCGCTATTGGTCTATAGTTCTTAGCTATTGCTTTGCTGCCACCTTTATGGTGTGGGGCTATATCCATTGTTTTTAGTGACTGGGATTTCACCCGAGTTTATGCTTCCTCTCCATAGCATACTTAGGGGTGAGTGTCAAGCTCTGCTGGGTGCCTCCCGCACTCCTGAGTTGTAAATTAATCAACATGTGCAGGTACCTTCATGTTGCTGAATCCCACTTGTTCCAAGCAATCAGAGTTACCTCCCACTTCCTTGGACTAAACGTAATTGCTTCCCATAGCACAGGTGTTACTTAACCCCCAAGAGTTTAGCGTTTCCCCGTGAATAATAATAATTCTAATACAATAATTATTAGTTATTACATGTGCCAGATCGATGCCTTGGCTTTCTTGCACTATATAGTATACATATATTTCTACACCCACATGGATATTGCTAATGTACACACAACTAGCAGCTACTCCACTCTGTCTACAGATGAAATTCATGATGGTCGTCAGTGTCACCTTAAAGACCAACACCATTAGAAAGTTTCTCCAGCCATCACATCAGGTCTCTTTGACCGCGCACTTGTCAAGCAAACATTACTCACCAGCTAATATATATTTTTTCTTTTTCTTTATCTGATACACCTTTCACATTTTTAGCTGCCATAATTTTTCAATTGCGTGTATTATATATATATATATATATATATATATATATATATATATATATATATATATATATATATATATATATCTCCATGTTATATATATAATTATATTTAATATATATAATTATATTTAATGAACCGGCCGTATCCCACTGAGGTAGGGTAGCCTAAAAAGAAAAACTAAAATTTCTCTAAAATTTAGCAATATCCAAAGGATAAGGGGTTACTAGCCCCTTGCTCCCGGTATATTAGTTGCCTCTTACGACACGCATGGCTTACATGGAGTATACCTGGAGAGGGTTTCGGGGGGTCAACACCCCCGCCTGTGACCAGGCCTCATGGTGGATCAGGGCCTGATCAACCAGGCTGTTACTGTTGGCCGCACGCAACCCGACGTACAAACCACAGCCCGGCTGGTCAGGTACTGACTTGAGGTGCCTGTCCAGCGCCTTCTTGCAGCCAGGGGTCTATTGGTAATCCCCCTTATGTATGTTGGGAGGCAGTTGAACATTCTTGGGCCCCTGACACTGTTCTTTTTCGTGCTAGTGGCACCCTTGCTTTTCATTGGGGGTGGAATGTTGCATCGTCCGATGTGTAGGTAATATATATATATATATAATATATATATATATATATATATATATATATTATATATATATATATATATATATATATAATATATATATATATTATGCAATAAGATCACAGTTAACAGGTGATTTCAGAATATGCAAAACACCCACTGTGAAAGAATAGAGAAATTCCAAGCGCTTTCGTGACTACTCACATTATCAAGGAACAATGAAAGTAAAGCATCAAAGGAAGGTATATAAAGGGGTAGCCCACACCACCAGGCTCTGGTGGCCTGGTGGTTAACGCTCTCGCTTCACACGGTGAGGGCCTGGGTTCGATTCCCAGCCAGAGTAGAAACATTGGACGTGACGTGTTTCTTTCCACCTGTTGTCTATGTTCCCCATCAGTAAAATGGGTACCTGGGTGTTAGTCGACTGGTGTGGGTCGCATCCTGGGACACTGACCTAAGGAGGCCTGGTCACAGACCGGGCCGCGGGGGCGTTGACCCCCGGAACTCTCTCTCTCCAGATAAACACCTCACTATCAGATCCCGCAACAAAGAAGCACCTGACGCGAGACAGCAGGCTCGCCGGCCGAACTAGACAGGTCCTTCACACACCCACCAACAAACTATTCTACCCAAGAAATAAGAAATTTAAAAATTTATTATTTGTCCAATGTATTATTAAATTCTTCCCAAATTCTTTTAATTATATAAATTAGATCCATTTATAATTAAAAGAATTTGGGAAGATTTTAATAATACATTGGACAAATAATAATTTTTTAAATTTCTTATTTCTTGGGTAGAATAGTTTGTTGGTGAGTGTGAGAAGGACCTGTCTAGTTCGGCCGGCAAGCCTGCTGTCTCGCGTCAGGTGCTTCTTTGTTGCGGGATCTGATAGTGAGGTGTGGGCTACCCCTTTATATACCTTCCTTTGATGCTTTACTTTCATTGTTCCTTGATAATGTGAGTAGTCACGAAAGCGCTTGGAATTTCTCTATTCTTTCACAGTGGTTGTTTTACATTATATTATATATATATATATATATATATATATATATATATATATATATATATATATATATATATATATATAATTCGTGTTTTAGAGACTAGAGTATTCCTGATGTTAACATACTAATTAACTACGAGTTTAATTGAAATTACTTCTAACTGGACGGTATTGCTCTTTCTTAACCCACTTGAACAATTGCTGCTTCACACTGTTGTCTGCCTTCCCTGCTGAGGTTTATCCAGATAAGCAATGTTTGTATTTGTAAGAGTGGTGTGGGAAGAGGCCAACTGGACCCCAAACACGCACTCGCATATTTAATTTACTGCGTGCTCTGCTTACTGAATGACTTATATATGTGGTTATGTATTCTTCTAGTTTGTAGCTTATATTTTCTTGTTATCTATGACGTCTGCTGCTTTTGCTTTGCATTTTGTTTGAGACCTTTGTGTATTCATCACGTTGTGAAGCACTGACTGACCTATTCTGCCAGCGCTTAGTAAGTTTTCAAGTTTCCTTATTTCCTATTAATCTATGAAGGTTTATAGTATAGCTTCATCTATATGTATACTCACTTTTAGTACTACTAATGCTACTGCTGATAATAATAATGAAATGTAACTACGCAATTGAACATAATTCCCTCAATTTATCAATATAATTTAGGTTGCTGGGTTTTAGTGCAAATTTAAAAATCCCATGTGAAAAGTTTGCAGTATGTTAGTAAACCAGGATGACTTAGAGGTTTATCCTGCACCTTAGGTCAGGTTTGTCAGGAAACAGGACAAGTGTCTTGACGCGGATTTTAGTCATGATGATGACCAGCAGCTGGAGCTTTTCGTCGCCTGACCAAGGCCTTCCGCTGGATTACCGGTCCACCCTTTTTTAACATAATAGTTATAAATGTAACCACTGGATATAAACCCGGCACCTTCATAAGAATGTGCAGGTCATTTTTTTTTTTTTTTTTTTTTTTTTTTTTTTTTTTTTTTTTTTTTTTTTTTTTTTTTTTTTTTTTTTTTTTTTTTTTTACGAAAATTTTAGGTAAGTAGGCTGCAATGATTATAATTTTCGCGAGCGCTTCTACTTAATAGTAATAAACGAATAATAAATGATTAACATTACTAAACATAAAAGAGTAAATTAACATTGCTAAAAATAATAAAGTAATTGTCGGTTTGGAAGCCTAGCCTTGCTAAAATTGATGGTGTGTGACCCGGCAGTAATAAACGTGACAGTTGCAGGTTGGTGGTGATGATGGACATGTGGACCTGTGTCTTCCTGTTGCTAAGGTAAGAAAACAGGGGTATTACCTATCATAATACAGTGAAGGTGAGTATTACTTGTCACAGTACAGTGAAGGTGGGTATTACCCATCACAATACAGTGAAGGTGGGTATTACCCATCTACAGTGAAGGTGGGTATTACCCATCTACAGTGAAGGTGGGTATTACCCATCTACAGTGAAGGTGGGTATTACCCATCTACAGTGAAGGTGGTATTACCCATCTACAGTGAAGGTGGGTATTACCCATCTACAGTGAAGGTGGGTATTACCCATCTACAGTGAAGGTGGGTATTACCCATCTACAGTGAAGGTGGGTATTACCCATCTACAGTGAAGGTGGGTATTACCCATCTACAGTGAAGGTGGGGATTACCCATCTACAGTGAAGGTGGGTATTACCCATCTACAGTGAAGGTGGGTATTACCCATCTACAGTGAAGGTGGGTATTACCCATCTACAGTGAAGGTGGGTATTACCTATCATAATACAGTTAAGTGACTGAATGCTCGGTAGATGTGCCTGTAAATCTGACAAAAAATATATAAATCGGAAATTTCATACGTAAGGGGGAGAAAATAACCTGAAAATTTTAAGGAAAGTGTTGAAAATGAAGACAGATTCCAAGGAAAACAGGAAAAAATGTCCTTGAAAAATAGGACAGTAACATAAGGAAGTGTCATATTAGTTTTGATGGAAGATTAAAAAAATTCTTAGGAATTGAAGAAAAAAAACCAAGAGGGGAAAAACATCGGAAACGTTGGGAAGAATATCAGCTACAAATCTCGCAGAATACCTTTTAGAAAATTGAGGGGATAAATATCCTGAAATGTAGAAGGCTGATGGTAAGAGACGAGTAAGTACGAGGAAAGCTGTCTAGACAAAGTATCCATAACTGATACATGGCGTAGAAAGCAATTTCCTATAAAGCGTTGAAAATTAACGTAGTTGAGAGGTAAGAGCAAAAGCTGAATTGTGTGGGGAAAATCCCTTAGAAGAAACTCAAAATACCTCTGAATTAAAACATTCAGACGTTAAATGAAGCAGCAAGGACAAATTCGACCAGTTAAAATAACTCGACAAGTGCTAATACAACCAACCGTACTAAGATACCACTTAAAACTACCAGAACTTTATTACACAAGTTATATAATGACAAATGTATAAAAGACGCACAGATGCAACGCTTGGTAACACCTCCCCTCAAGGAAGGTTCCTTGATGTTGGTGAGGGGCTCTTGATTTAGGGAATTGGATCTGTGCTCCAGTTCCCCGAATTAAGCCTGAATGCCTTCCACATCCCCCCCCCCAGGCGCTGTATAATCCTCCGGGTTTAGCGCTTCCCCCTTGATTATAATAATTGGTAACACCTGTAATTATGGACATCCGGTCTTTGTGCGAGTTTGGCCATAATACATTCCTTAAAAGGTTCAGTATCAAACTGGTTTTGTTATGGACATTGTTTAAAGTTGTGCAGATATGAGAAACTTAACCGAAGCCAAACTTACTCCACCCGTGGTAGACATGAGACTGGCTCAATTTTTTTGAAATTGGATTTGTCTTTGTTTACGTTCGCTGTGATTGGCCAAGAGCATCAGTACTAACTGTTGATTGGCCCTGACGTCCCATAATAAATGTATTATATTTGCTAATATCACCCAAAATAAAATAAATGACGCGTAATTTCTCAAAAGGACTGAATCTCCATACTCGCCAACATTTTGCCTATCAAAGACATTTGATAAACACCATGGTGGGCGCAACGCTTCGCCCACCAGGAGCGTTGCATTGATGAAGCCCCAGGTAAGCTTTATCAGTCCAGGGGAATTAATTTCCAAAGCTTCCTGATTAGTACAATGTTTTTTTAAGGTTACCTGACATGTACGTATCTCTCAAACTATCAGCATTGTAATCAAACTAAGAAAATTATTGCAGTAAAGTATCGGTAAAGTATCCACACATTGCATTTTTAATTTTAAATGCTGTACTTTTCTTAGGTTATTTTTATTATGACACTTAAAAACAGCCAAACCTGTATTACTGTATATAACTTCGGGTCACGTGGGTCCTGTAGACTAGGAGCAAGTTATACAGAGTTCGGCAGGACCTGGGAGCCTGGTCCTCCTTCGACCGGAATAGTCTCATTAAGATGAATCTGTAGATAAGGAGCGGGCACACCTCACCCATAGACCCCTGCACTCTTCCTTTATGTAGCGTGACGTGCAGCGGACTCTGGAACACATTTTAATAGTTTTCCCACGACTTAGGTTTTGTCATGGTTTTTATAAATACCGAGGTGCCTGTAGGGATCTCGAAGAACTTTTAGGGGCGTCTTTTGATATTTTTTGTAGCTTTTAATTAATGCTGGCTATTTTAACTTGGACAATAGTATTATTGATTTGTGTTGAGCCTTTTATTACTGTTCGTGTCTTTTATTTTTATATTTTATGTTTTTATTGTGTTGTATGGATTATTATTGCCAAGAACGTTGAGTGACCTGCACGGTCAGTGTTCTGTAAATATCACAGCTACTACTGTAACTCCTGTTGTGTTTGCAATTATAATCATGCGATTAGAGTAAACAGTAACCTACAGTATAGCGAGGTGTGGACCGTTTCGCCCGTTTTAATAAGGTTTTGAATAAATGGATGATTCATTCTGACGTGTGCAGAGTGAAGTGTGGACGGTGAGGGAATACAGCAAGCGGGCCAGCGCACGCAGCCATGCCAAGTCCGACTCCAGTTCCGACTCCGATTCCGACCGTGGTTCCGGCTCCGGCAAGCGAGGCATGACGGTGAGTACCTCCAGTACCTCTGCTCTTCCCCCAGTTCAGACTTCAACCGCGACTCCAGAAAACGAGGCATGATGGTGAGTGCCTCTTTATTTTTATTTTTCCTCCTTAGGGGGCTAATTCGTGCACCGGCAGCTCATTTGCATTGTAATATTTTCTCAGTAATTTTAAAGCTGTTTTTGCATATAAATTGCCATATTTAAGATTTATCCTACCCCGCCCAACCCCCTCTACTTCCACTCCAGAGAATGCAACCCACAACAGTCGACTAACACCCAGGGATAGCAAATGTGACCTGCTTAAGCGTCTTGCCCTCTGTGGCAATAGGGGTGGCTCGTGGCTTGGTAGGCAAAACGCTCGTTTCACGCGCTGAGTGTCCGTGGTTCGATTCCCGGTAGAGCTTTGTCAATTCATGTTTGTTCTGGGTAGAGCTTTGTCAATTCATATTTGGCTGTGTAAACATTGGGCGTGTTTCTTTACACCTGTTGTCCCGTTCACCTACCAAGCAAATAGGTAACTGGGTGTTAGTCGACTGGTGTGGGTCGTATCCTGGGGGACAAGATTGAGGGCTCCAGTGGAAATTAGTCCCTAGATGACGCACTGCCTTTCTTGGGTTATCCTGAGTGGCTAACCTTCCGGGGTTAAAAATCCGAACGAAATCTTATCTTACCTGGGTTCTAGTTGTCAAACAACCCCTGAAGTAGTGGGTAGTGAGTGATTTCTTAAAAAAAAAAAAAAAAAAAAAAAATATAGACTGCATGAAGGTCGTTAAGAATGAGTTTAACTTGTACACCATAAGTCAAGGATACTTTAATACTTATCAGTCTCTCCTGCCATGGGTTAGATTCCCACTCGTTCCGAATTAATATCTATCTCTGTATAATAACCAGTGTTGCAATCTCAAGATCACGTGTAACATTATCATTTTAATCATAAGGCCATTTCATAGATTATTTTTTAGTGATGTGTCGATATCTCAAGATTTCAAGATATTGTGAAACGAAGTGGTTTACCATTTTCTCTAGGGTTTGTTGGGACCTTTTTCTACATGGCTGGATTTTTGGACGGTGTGCTATATGGCGCATACGGGTTTAAAGCTTATTTTTAATATAGTAATTTGTAATAGTTCTTATACACTTCTATTGTGATCCTGTCTCTGCCCACATTACATTTTGTGATTGACATTGTACGCAAACTAAAATACTAAAGCTGCAATACGCAAGCCTTAGTCAAGCAGTGACATCTTGTAGCCTACTGATGGTGTTACTCTGTCGTCTTACGTCTGGGAAAAGGACAGCAAGTTGTCTCACACCTGTCCAATAACTTTTGGCAGTGCATAATTAGGCCTACATAGCGCAGTTGTCAGCATTTCCCTCAAAGCTTTGTGAGCAATCAGCCTACCCAGTGTATAGGTCTCGGTAGCTGCAAATGAGAAATGATAGGTGAACTTGTTAGGTATCCCAGAATGAGTATCAGTTGTACATCCCAAGTTTTTTTTTTTTAATCTTAAAGCCTCATCCGGCTGGCTTCCAATTTTCAGCGCTGGTATACTGTAATTAAGGAAAGGTTCATGCAACTATTGGCATGTGCATGTGCCTTCTGGGCCGTTTTATATAGAAAATTCTTGGTTTTTGGAATCCGTGCGATAACTAGAAAATCTCTCTTAATCATCTTCAGATTTTTCAACATTGGTTTTTCTTAAGAAAAAGACGATTAGGTATAGGAAAGAACTGGAGAATGCCTCTAAAGATCGGCTTCAAACCCTAGATGCTTGTGTAACTTCGAGGAATTTTTAGATTGACCTTGAGGTGAGTGGGTGTCAGTTTGCCAAATGAAGAAATTGGGGAAAATATAATACTGGTTTTCATGCGATAATTTGTGAATACCTTCCTTTAGACACTCAACGCTGATGTATCACTTAGAGCAGTGGTTCCCAAACTTTTTCAGCTTGTTACCCAATTTAACATGCCACATAAAGCATGTTACCCCTTTCACAAAATGTTGTTATTATTGATATATATGGCTAAACGTGAACGTATACAACCTCGCATACTCTGCTAATCCTAGCAAAACCATTGAAAACGTAAGAACCACACATACATTATATATAAAATTAATAATAGCTACAAATTCACAGTAACAGTGGGTAAATACTAACTATATACTGCACAGGGCAGTACACATACATACCAGCTTATGTCTACCTCGGCTGATGCTCACAGATAAACTGACAGTGTGAAATAGAGGCAGCCTCAGGAAGTGAGTGACGCGTACTGGACAGGTCGATCTGGGCTACTGAGTGACTTTTGTCCTGAAGCATACTTGTCAAAATACTTTTGGGTTTCCACACACTTAGCTATATATTTCTTCTTTTCTAATACTGTATATTAGTTTTTGATGTTTATTGTTATTTGGTTTAACTTTATTACTTATAATAAGTTTACTTTACAACTTTATATACTAAGACAAAGTTAACAATAATCCTCATACTGGGTACCGCATTGTTTTCTTGATTTTCAGAATTCATAACTTTTTTTTCTGTCACCCCTCCATTACCCCCCAAAAATGGTTAAATTACCCCCAGGGAGTAATTTACCCCCAGTTTGGGAACCACTGACTTAGAGGAAGTTTTAGTCTGTTACTGAACTGTGTGGCTATCAATTTGCAGAATTTTACATTAACCCCTCAGGTGTGTAAATTCTGGTGTCTTAAAGCTAACTTCCCCCCCCCTAAAGGAATTTAGAAATTTTGAAATAAAAACGGAGAAAAGAAAACAGACAAATATTGAAAATTTGCGTTTTATGGAGTTTTTAATTTCAGGAATTTAACGAGTCTTTAAATATTACACTTTCCTGTGGTTTTATTGTAAGAGCTTGTCATATTTTCTGGTGCAGTTTTTTCCCCTCCCCGTTTAGGTTTTCGTGTATCTCTATAACACCTCGTCCGATCGGCATCAAATTTCCAACGTTGGCGAACTTAATCATGGAATGGTTCCTGGAATTATTGCGATGAGCAGGTGCCCTCGTATCACTATTGATTAGTCATTACCGATTTTGGTTTTGAATTTATTTTGGGCCTAGGTGCCAATTTTATTAAAAAATGAAAATTAAAATGTCGGTTTTCATGCAATATATGAATGCTTCATCTGATCGGCTTCAAACCTTTCACACAGCTTGAAAATGTAACTTTTGATTTTGAAAGTTTTACTTTATTATGATAATGTGAAAGCGAATTGGCCACAACAGTAGCAAGTTGATCATTATATTGTATATTTATTAATATTAGAAATGGTGTATGTTTCAAGTACTGAATGACTAAGGAGTTCTAGTGCTTTGTAAGTATAATAACACTTAAATATTCATGTCACAGTAGTCAATGCTGGTTACACATGAGCAACTTCCACAGAGGTATTCAACCAGTCTTCCTCTTCGGTATTATATACACATTGATGAGGTGGAGTGACTACCACCCACAGGATGGGTATGGGTCACTACCGCCCACTGGATGGGTATAGGGTACAGAATAAAACTTCTACTGAGGACTCATCACTAAGCTAATAGCAGGTCTGCCGACATTACATATTCTCAGCCACACGCATTTATTTTCACCTTCACACTTTAAGACTTTTGATTAATAAATTTATAAATATTTTTACTTATTAACCCATTTCCTCTAAACAGCGTAGTGAATTATTTTTTCGTATTGCATATTATATTTTGCTAGGCTGTACTAATGCACCAATCATTCCACAATACTGTTTCTTCAAGGGGGAGGGGAGGTGCTGCCTACATGCTTGGGAAGAGCTCTTCATCCAAGGAACTATATTTACTGGGAAGCGCTAAAACCGTAAGGGCCATACATTACCTTGGGATTGGTAAATAATGAGGATTGAGTCATTGAAGGAGAGGGATAACTTCAGTAGGATCAAGATCCCCTAACCAGTATCAAGAAACCTCAGAAAGGGAATGGAATCCTAACCCCATGAATAAGTGGACCACATTGTTACAGCACAGTGAGTGTTCATTGTTTCAGCATAGTGAGTGGTCCGAATTGTTCCAATATAGTGAGTGGACCACATTGTTCCAACATAGTGGCCCATAGTGTTCCCTTTTGGTCTAAGTAAGTTTATTCAGGTATACACAAATACAGTTACATAGATTATCATACATAGCAGCATATGTGTAAAGAACCTAGGATAACCCAAAAGTCAGTGACTTATTTCCATTGGGGTCCTTTTACCTTATTATAAAGGTTACAATATTTTCTTATTATTCTATAATGAAGATAACAGCTTATTATCATACTAAAAAGACTACTACACGAGGGTCATTAAGACTAAATATAAAAGTAACCCAGGATATAGTTATCGTACACTTGAAATATGTTAATTTCGGTTAACATGAACCTAATCTAAGCTCCAACGTTCGTATAAAAGCCGGCTAGGTTCCATACATGGGAAAGTTAACGTTGTGACAATGTTCCACTCTTACTGTTTCAACTGTGTTTAACTCGTTAATTTTGGTTTAACTGGTGACAGAAAAGAAAGGCATCACCTGGCAACATGTTCCCTGCGGTCATGGTTTGCGGCTGAAGCATAAATTAGCACACTCATCCTGCAAGCTGAATGTGTGTGCTTTGTCTTTAATAACAGTGATCTCTGCCACACAGACGGATGTACGGTACACAGAAAATAACGAAAACAAATTGAGTTACTTTAATATATTCAATGCGAGTTTTTTTTTCCACCCATTGCTGTGATATGACTGGCAGCAGCTTGGGCAAGATGCATTAAGGCTAAGCTTATGAAATTGTTTCTTAATTTTTGTTTTTTCCTGATTATATTTTTTTTTTAAATTGAGTCAGTCACAAAATTTTTTGGAAATAAAATGACCTCCTTGAAACAAAGATATTTGCCAAGTACGTGGTTTGACTAATCGTGGGAAAATTCTAACTTCAGACATTGCACCTGTCTCGCTATTGCAACCGCACCAGGTAGATACAAC